TGTGGCTCGAGCCACATGTTGTCGGCCCAGGTCACATGGTTAACTTGGACAGACTGGATAATGGGGGCAGAGAGCTTCTGCTCCGCCTCACGGGACAGCAAGGCCTTCTCTCGTCGCTCCTCCTCCTCTGTAGAGAAAAAAACAGATAAAAATGAACGTTATGCACAAAGACATGAAATGAAAGCTACAACTTGGAAATGCTATTTGAGAATAATACACTGTATATTTAAATTTGGGGTGCTGTATAAAAAATGCTGGATGGAAACACCATGAAATGTGAATACATATTCCAAAATGTGCAAGAAAAAAAGTACGCATTAAATTTTTAATACATAAACTACTGGAAACACATTTACAGAATACATTCCCAGATGCTCATTAAAAAAGTGCGTGTGACTGATTAATTCACTCCTGATTGGTTACTTTTACCCTTTAGAACTGTCTGAAGATTGTCAGAGCATTTGTGTTTGCACATTCTGAACAGCAATTTATTACATTTAATCAAAATTGTAAAAAAGCCTACAGCTTCTGGTTTCGTTTATATTTTGCAATTTCCTTAGAAGTGACCATTTTGTTCTCTTGAACACATGGGATGGAAACGCTGCAAATAGTTTTGCAGTATTTGCTGCATAAATTAAATTTGCAGCTTAAATGGAAACTTACTATTCTCTCACTGGAGATTCTAATCAGAAAGAGACAGAAACACTGCTTGAGCCGCACAGTTTTTGTAGTTCTCTGATTTATTGCATAAAATTACATTTGCAGCTTTAATGGAAACACTTATTTTCTTCTCGACTCTAACTGTAGATTCTAGTTAGAGAAAGATGGAAATGCTGCTCTATTCACAAACAGTTTTTTGAGGTATTCTGATTTCTCACATAAATTCACAGCAGATTCAAAAGCAAAGAACTGGGGCCCGTTCTTCGTACGTCGCTTATAACATCCGAGATGAAACGTCACATCCAAGATGATATCATCGCGCTAAACAGGATCTGGCTAATTCGGTTCTTCGAACGCAGCTGTTGTTGATGATTAGTATGGCTGGATTAAGTTATCTGAGATAATTGCGCGTTCATGGGTTGGTTTAAAAGGGGCTATGTATCGATACTCGAAACCACGATCAGCAATGCAGCGATTGGCTGGCGGCAAGACAGCAACGTAATGACATCATATAATTAATAAAGACACCTGACGAAAAACTTGACACATGAAATAAGCCTGCTCCCGAGCAGTTTTAAGCTTACGGACCTGTTGCTATGACAGCAACTCCGGGATGAGCTTCGAAGAACCAAACAATCCGAGATCATGCCAAATCGTCAACAATCAAATCCAGCTAACGGAGTTAGCGACGTACGAAGAACGGGCCCCTGGTGTGACTTCTTTTTGAACAAAATCAAGTCAAAACTAAATTTGTTTGGAGTTGTCAGGAGTTCGAAACAGCTTGCCAAAGAGAACTTAATTCACTTTATACACCAGAGTTATAGTGATTATTGGCCAATTTCAACGTTTTCAAATTACCAAAAAGCCCTTGTGTCAGTCCAAAAATCTACGACACCCATGCAAATAAATCAAAAACTATTTCAAATTTTTAGTGATTTACGTAAATATTATGTGAAATACTTCTACACAAAATTTCTGAGATTAAACAAAATCTAATTTGCTGCAATCAAATTGTATCATGTCAATGTTCAGAATTCAACATTCAATTGGACACAAGTCCAGGCCATTCAAAATATAAGTTATATAAACCATAAGCAATTCCTGTCAAAATATAATACAACAGAAAAATGTGTTTCTACAGGTGATTAGTTTCCCTCAGACTGAAATATATTTTATGAAACTCACATTCGGTTGCCTGATTAACAGCTTGAAATAAATATTCACAGCACAGATTTCAGAGTGATTTACTATTTATTATCTAGCTATAATGGCATAGCTCTGTTTGTACAAAAAGAATAATAAAAATTATAATAATAAAAAAAATTGTGAAAGAAGTCAACTGAACTATAACCATAGCTAATGAATATCAGCAACAATACTACAGATTAATACAAATTTATAGATCAGTAATGGAAATAATTAGTGCTTTTCTAGGCTCTGACAAAGAAGCGCTCATAGCTGTGAAGTGTAAATTAATAATGAGAAGCTGCAGACTAACAGAGTAATTTAATACATCAAGACAGCGTGATAATACCGAATACCGTGATAAAAGCATTAGCAATTAATTGCAACATGAAAATTTGATACCGGCATATCCCTAACTCCAATTAGGGTGGGGTGTGAGCTAGCTGTCCTGCGTGGTCTGTCTCTTTAAGAGAGAAGCCCCAGAAAGAGTCTTGCCTTGTCTCCAGCTCTACGCTGACGTCACACAGCAGTGTGCACGAAAAGCCAAGAGCTGGCGTGGGGAATCTGAGGCCGGGCCGTACCATCTGCAGGCTAAAATGCCCCCGCCATCCGACGATTTCCATGACTGATGGACAGATCTATTGTTTAGCCCGTCGATCCATATTCAGTTGCATCTGAGTTGTGACTTCAGATCGATGTTTGAATTTTAATACGGGGGGTATTTCTGGCTGCAGTCCAAAGCGTCTTTGAGCCAAAACTGTCATTTGCACCGCAAGACATTCCTGTGCAGAAACTGCATCTTGCGAATGTGAGCATGCTGCAGACAAAGGGGTGACCTGATGCAAAGCATTCCTATACAGTTCAAACCACGACATGCAGGAATCCTCCTGCATCAGCAGGAAGAATAATATTGACTGTGAAACACGTTCTCAGAAGCAGAATGCTGGGATCAATATTGCATATTTCATAAATATTGCATATTTCTCCATATATAAGAGGAGAAGACAAGTACATACCAAAATGCCATTTCTCTTGACATTTAAATGCGTACAAAGAAATAAATAGCATGTTAGGAATGGAATCACAAACACTACTGTGTCATTGAGCATATATTATACAGCCAGGCTTAATAAGCTCTAAACAGCTCATGAGAGTGCCATCTATTGCTCTCCATAAATAAGCATGTAAAGCTCTTGAGGATATACTATGTTGGTCCGTAGGCTTTAAGAGTGTGCATTATCAACACGGCACTGCGTAAATGGGACAAAGGAACCTTTTAATGAAGTTTCCTCATGTCGTCTAGCATACAGCAAAAATTCCATTTCATTTTCACAGGCTAACGTGGAAATCACGACCCACTAGACAAGACTTTGCTCGTATAAAACTGTGCTTGCATAAAAAGCAATGACAATAATTCATTTTGAACAATAAAATCAAATTTCTCTTGACATTTAAATGCGTACAAAGAAATGAATAGCATGTTAGGAATGGAATCACAAACACTACTGTGTCATTGAGCATATATTATACAGCCAGGCTTAATAAGCTCTAAACAGCTCATGAGAGTGCCATCTATTGCTCTCCATAAATAAGCATGTAAAGCTCTTGAGGATATACTATGTTGGTCCGTAGGCTTTAAGAGTGTGCATTATCAACACGGCACTGCGTAAATGGGACAAAGGAACCTTTTAATGAAGTTTCCTCATGTCGTCTAGCATACAGCAAAAATTCCATTTCATTTTCACAGGCTAACGTGGAAATCACGACCCACTAGACAAGAACAGCACAAAAGATTTTAAGAGGCTTTGCTCGTATAAAACTGTGTTTGCATAAAAAGCAATGACAATAATTCATTTTGAACAATAAAATCAAATGCAAACATGACATTTCATTTAACAACCAACTTATTAAACTAACCTATTTATGACTGTGTTACTCTAAGATAAGCAAGTGTGCTGGCTGGTATAAAGCTCTTGTATAATTATGAGCAGCTTGGGAAACAGAACAAATAATTAGGTCTGGACAATTAGTTAAAAACCTTTCATGTCTTCATTAACACTCAATATATTATTTAGTATCTGTCACAGACACTAGTTCACAAAGCTCAAGCAGTAAGTGAAAGCTTAACCAGGTTTGACAGTATAAAAGCAAAAGAAAATTCTCCCTGCTTATGCAAATAAATGCATTTTTTTAAAAATAAACATGGGGTATCATTCTCACTTCCTTTAACATAAAGCCTCTCTGTTAATACAGCACATTTGAGCTTACATGCAATTTTATAGATCTAGTACAAGGTCAAAGATTGTGTAAGTGTATGCAAAGTTAGCACATTTGAATCGAGCCTTTAAAGAGAAAGACCTTGCAGAAATGTTCAAAAATATGCCAACTTCACTTATTGTTGTACAGCCTTTTTATCTGTATTCCCAAATTTAAACAGTCTGCAAAAGAGTAAATCAGTCCGTCAAGCTTTTACTTGGAGATGCATGAAAAATGCACATTATATAACTGCATTGAGGGAGGGTGGCGTTGCCCTATTTTCTCCCCAGTTTGTGACCTGGGAGAGAAGGAGGGGGGCGGGGGGTTGGTGTCTGGCGCGCACGTGGCTGAAGAGGGCGGACTTTCAGCACGCGGTATTTGGTGTGGGTGTGGCTTTACTGACACGTCACCTCGAGAATGAAACAAAAAGCCCCACGCTCTGTTTAAAGCGAAATATAAATTGCCAGTAAAATCTTACAATGTCTGTTTTATGGAATTTCTGCGTATTGAAGGTGCGATAACAAACAAAAAAAGAGATTAAGCAGCTAATAACGAAGAAGTTGTGATGGGAAATCACAGTGTCTTGAAAGTCATGAGTGAGATAACCACTCAGCAATGTCATTATGTAGAAAAAAAAAAACCTTTGGTCTATTGCCACCGCCCAACGGATAAGAAACACGACGTTCGCTACTTTCAGTTAACCGGGTTATAAATTAACTGGTCGGTAAAAATGGTTGTTATAATTTTAAGAATTCTACCCAGCCAATATAAGTGCATAAACGTGTAACTTTATGTGTCTGACAAAAATACGACACGCCATGTACTAAGATCTGTCGGGGTAAATGTACCCACCCACCGCAGAGCTATTGAGCCAGTATAGTAGCACACTAAATATAGCATGGATTTAACCCGGAAACCGAGTGAGCGAAATATGCCCTAGTCACGAAGACTGCACCCTAAAAACAGTGCAAACCACTGGACATTACTACTGAGACAAAGAGCTCTTTTTCGCAATGCTTAAAATAAAAAGCTGATTTACAATATTTTTTTTCTTTTTAAAGAAAATAAAACTGTAGTTATTTATCTTGAAGTGTGCCGGCATGGAAATGCAATTTGCTGGGTAAAATCCCAGTTAGTTCATACATATCTAATTTATCCCATAGATCTATGCAATCACCCAGTTCCCCCCGCCTTACCACGTGTAATCTGTTGTTGCTGGGCTTGCCACTCCAAATACCTGGCCGCTTCCAATAGAGTATCGATACTCATTTTGAACACCGATACAATACGTTCCCGTTAAAAATTTATGCAAGCCCCCGGTACAGATATATGTGGTGGGTTAAATCACAGTATAATCCACTGGCTTCCAAAGACAGTCATAAGACATCCAGGGCGCTCCCGAAATTCATCAGAAACACATTACTTCACTGGCAACAAGATGGCGATTGGAGTAACAGAAAACACAACAAGTCGAAAGGCATACAGTGCAAGGTCCGCCCTCGTCGGTGCTACTCCTCCCTCATACTACCAGTGATTAAAAAGTAGGGCAGAACACGCTGTCACGCTAAGCGATAGGATCGGGACTCTAAACCGAACGTAATCTCATAAATGAGATTGAAATGTTTATATAAATGATCAAGACTTAATGGTGAGATTTATATTACACAATAGAATCTGTGTAAACTTGTTTCCGGTCGCTTATTAGAGCATAAAAGGAGGAAATAGTGCGAAACGTCTACGGAATCCATGTTCCGGGTTTTCGCTGTGGCCCTACCCTGCAGTACATTAGCACATGATTAAAACATGTCGATGAGAGGGAACCAATGGGCGTGGAGAACAACAAGGCATGGTGTCTGTCCACATGGGCAGCCGCTAAAGGCTGAGCGCGGCTCATTTGCATGGCGAGACCGTGTATGGCAAGCCGTTTTACATGTATTCAACTACCTATTTTTGTTGCTAGGACTTGTTTAATTGCCAGGATGTAAAACTAGTATTTGAAATTTCACTATTACAGGGGTCATATGATGCTGCTAAAAATAACATTATTTTGTGTATTTGGTGTTTATGCGGTTTAAGGTTCAAAAAACACATTATTTTCCACATACTGTTACTTTACTTGAGTATTATTTTTTCTGGGAACTTATGACTTTAACTTCACTACATTTGAAAGACAAATGAAGAGAAAATACTTTTCACTCCACTACATTTCTATCAAGGTCCTCGAAGTAGAAAGTCGTTACTATGTAGCAGCTTTGAAAGTCAGTAGGTGATTTGTTTCTTTTCTAAAACGTGACTTTCTTTTTTTCAGACTGTTTATCAGTAATCGCTCTTGTGAGGCTACATGAAGAGATTTCCCAGCATTTTTTGAACACTGACCAGTTGCAAATGTGATATTTATTTACAACAATTCAATAATAAGAAGTTAATATTGTGGTATATATTAGACCAGTGTTTCCCAA